CAGCCCTAGAGCTCCAGCTGCTGGTGCAGGGAATCTCCTAATAACCGATCCCTCCTGAGTAGAGACCACAGTCCATAGTCCTGGGTCTTTATCAGTGACTCCCTCCTCTGTACTCGAGGGGGTGGCAATGGTGCGATGCTGCAGCCGCCTGCCTATCTGACCTGAGTCCTCTGGTCTCTCCCCATTATCTCCTGCAACACCAAGGAATGTAGTGTTATCCAGCTTTTCTGGCAGAAAAAAATGTCTTTGTGTTTTGAATCTCAACCTATATGGCTCCTGCTTAGGGCCAGAAATCTGGTTGGTCACAATCACTGGGAAATAGTGGCTCAGGACATTGCAGTTCAGTTCACTTCATGCATCAAGGAAGATGAAATATACAACATGGGACACGGTGGCACCAGAGCAGATGTATGGGGTTTTCTCCAGGACTTGCGAGTCTGGCTTTGGTAACTGGGAAGATAGCGTGTCATTCCCTGAAATAGAGGGTGCTGGAGGAGGAGCAGGTGCTGGGAGGAATAATGTTCATTTGGAGGCATGTTGAATGTGAGGTGCTCGTGGGTCATCCAAGGAGAAAAGTCCAGTGGATAGTTGAATACAGGCCCTAGAGCATGGGGGTGAGCAGGGAGAAGTCCAATCTGGAGGTGAACCATGGTGACGCTCCCAAATCTTATGTAAATCATGGGTTTGTATGGGGCCATTCAAGGACCTTGCACTGACCAGAAGAGCTCAGAGCCAAAATGGTGCCGTGGGGGGGGCGGTGCGGGAAGAGCAGAGGAAGGAGCTCCAGGAAAGGAGACTGAGAAGGAGCAGCCAGAGAGGCAGGAGTAAAACAAAGAGGGGTTTTGTTTGTTTGCTTGTTTGTTTTGTTTTTAAACCAATGGATGACAGAGTTTCAAGGAAATAAGTCAACGAAGTCAAATACTAAGAGATTGCAAGTAAGATCAAACCTGGGACTTGGCCACATGAAAGTCAAAGGCGATTTTGGTGAGAGCATTTGAGGGGTGGGTCAAGGAGGAGCCGGATGGTAGGGAGTGCAGGAAGAGGACGAGGACACAGATCACTAAGTAGTTTACAGGGCTGAGGAGGGGGCAAGTGTGGGAAAAGCTGGGCATCCTTGTTTGGTAAAGGGAAGAACCATGAGCGAGGAAGGGGAAGGTAAGATAAAGAGGACAATGGGGCTTCCCTGGTGGCGCAGTGGTTGAGAGTCCGCCCCTGCCGATGCAGGGGACACGGGTTCGTGCCCCGGTCCGGGAAGATCCCACATGCTGTGGAGCGGCTGGGCCCGTGAGCCATGGCCGCTGAGCCTGCGCGTCCGGAGCCTGTGCTCCGCAACGGGAGAGGCCACAGCAGTGAGAGGCCCGCGTACCGCAAAAAAAAGGAAAAAGAAAGAGGACAATGGATGGGGGATCATGGAAGGTGAGAGGATGGGGGCTGCGTACCCTGCCTCTGCAGAGTGAAACTTGTAGGTGATGGGGAAAGCTGAAGAAGTTATTTTCCTCTGTGAAGTAGGAGGTAGAACCATCTGCATAAGGTAGGGTGGGAGATGGTGGGATGGAGTTGAGGAAAGAGAAGAAAGTTAGGAATTATCATTGAGGGGAAGCAGAATGAAAGTGAGCAGAGATGCACAGCATTGCCTCACTATGTGACAGGCCTGCTGAGGCGGGAGTCTGTGAGTTCCCAGCTCCTCTACTCAACATGGTCATGCGGCTTCCTCCTTTCACATGGACAGCTCACCACGGGACACGGCATGTTGACCCAGCATCGGAGTGTTGCTGGGCAGAGTGGTTAATACCAGGCCACAGGCTATGGGCTGGGATGCGAAGCAAGTAAGAGCCCACACAAAGGAGCTGCACGACCAGAAGAGGAGGAGTTTGTAGTATGTATTGGGAGTATAGGTGAAAGGCAGAGGAGCTGAAGGATACAGACAAATGCTGGATTATGACCTTTCGGAGGTGACACTCCCGATGGCAGTGGGGCACCCATGGGAGTGCACTGTTTTGTGGAGAGGAAGTGAATGCCCTCAGAAATGAGGCCGAAGGAGAACAAAGCGAGGGCATCACACGGGTTTCTCAGACACACATTCTGAGAAGGCACTAGGGTAATGGTGGGAGAAGCGACCAGAAGACAGTAAGCCAGGTGCCCAAGTCCCCAGTGAGTGCAGGGAAGGAAGTAGGAAACCAAGAACAAATGGGTTATCTGAGCAGCAGGAGACTCCAACTCGTGCTTATCTAGAGATGGAAGAAAAGATATCTGCAAGAGGCAATAAGAGTAAAAATAACTCAGGCCCTGCCCCTCAGATATGTATAATGGGATCCTGGGTGAGGGGAGACCTCAGCTGCTCATTTGAGAAGTGGGGGAGAACATTCTCTCCATGCTTGAACAGCACTTCGCCTGTCCTCTGAAACCTCTCTTGTAGGTCAGCAGTGGGTGGGGTGGGGAGTGGGGACCCTGAGGATCTGTCACAGGGTGAGGGGCAGCAGCCCTTTGTTCGGGGTGAAAAGTGGCAGGAACAGGAAAGTTAGGAGCCTAACCAGCCTCAAGGGATTAAGGCCTGTTTCTCTGTCCTGGGGGCGGGGGGATTGAGGCCAGATGCCACTTGCTGCCTGAGGCTCAGGGTTCCAGAAAGAGCCTGGTAAAAGGCTGATTTGCACCTGAACAGGTTCTTCCTGTGTGGAGGCAGGTACCAGTTTGTGTCCCAGGGGTCTGTGGGCTATCCCTGCCCTAGACTATTCCTCAGGAGGAAAACTGATCTTATCTCCATGTCTTTCCTCCAAGCTTAAGCACCACAGATTTTTGTGTTTTATTTATTTTTTTTTATTTACTTATTTATTTTGGCCACGCTGCGAGGCATGCGGGATCTTAGTTCCCTGACCAGGGATTGAACCCGGGCCCCCTGCAGTGGGACCGAGGAGTCCTAACCACTGGACCACCAGGGAATTCCCAGAAATCTCTATTTTTGAGAAGGAAGAAAGGGAGGAAGAGGAAGGACTGCCACCATGACAGAAAGGACTGGCTAGGTCAGAAGAGGAAAGGGTGGGGTGGGGGAGTTGACGGGCATCAGAGTCCAGCACTAGCCCTGAGCTCTCCTAGGACACGAGCTCGCCTGGCTTCCTCACCCCTCTCCCTCCCTGAAAGACAACAGCACACCTTATCTGCTAACCTTCACTTCCTGCAGTATTGGGCTGCCTTCTTTTTTTTTTTTTTTTTAGCTGCACAGCATTCGGGATCTTAGTTCCCTGACCAGGGATCCCTGCAGTGGAGGTGTGGAACCTCAACCAGTAGACAACCAGGGAAGTCCCTACTTAGGCTCCTTAATATTTACTTCTGTGAAAAGCCAGGAAGATGGGAGGCTATGAGGCCTGTGCTAATGGAAAAGGCATGGGGTGGTGGTTAAAAAAAAAAAAAAAAAATCAAAATATTTACCCGGTCCTTTCCCCTATACATACCCACCTATCTGGTATGTGTTAGGAATGAGAGTTTGGCTTGTGTTTGGAAAAGCAAACAGTCAAGGTCCTAAGCACCCAGCCATCAGCAGAACACAAAGTCCCTGTGATCCACGTCAGTCCCGCCCACTGCCCCATCTTCCAGCTGAAACTCAGATACCAGAAGGTGTGCAAACAGAGGAGGTGCTCTACCGCACCAGTCAGATTCTGTTTTCTCCACTTCGGCCCACATCTACCCACTCAGCTCCATTTAAGAAACAGTTTCTATCTGTCTTTACTTTTACCACCAGTCTTGGTTAAACATCAGAAAAGAGACAAATTACACACTTCTCAGAAACTGGAATTTTATAAAAAGGCATTTTTCTCTTATATCCATAAAATGATATAATATTTGCAAGTATAGAAATGTGTCATAAATTATACAGAATGTTCCTTAATTACAGCTCATTGCAACTTGGTACTTTCCTCCCTCCCTAAAAAACGAGAGAGAACCAAAAAAATAATATATATATAACTGTATATATATATATATATATCTATATATATATATTTATATATTTATATTTATATAATATAGACAAACAAAATATGAAAAAAAATCATTTCCTCTTTGGTATAAAAATCAGACTCTCACCTTGAGAGACACACAAACAGACATGATGTTGGGTTTGTAAACCATGTGGCCTAAAGAATTTCCCTGTCAAGCTTTCCCCGCCCCCATCCCCTGCCCACCCCACCCTGCCTCAACGCAGCCCACCTCCAGTTCCCTTGGGACTCCCACATAGCCCACTCCCAGCTCCACACCATTCCTGAGTAACCCTCTCCACTACCAAAGACAAGGAAAAAGTTCTTCCCAAGACTGATTTGGTAGCAACTAACTTGGGAGACACGTAATTTGGGGAAGTGCTTCCTAGGTGTAGATGATGGAGAGGAAGGACAGGCAAGCCGAAGCTCTGCTGTCCAGACCAAGCCAGGCACGGGGCAGCCGCCTCCCCTGCTTTTCCCCACCACTCAGTACAGGGACCGCACCAAATCCTGCCGCGTGCTGGGCCTGGAGCGGGTGGGACCTCTTTTACCAGAGGGAGAAGTAGAGGTCAGCTTCCCTTTAGCCTCATCTCATGGTGCTCAGCTTCCCCTTTTGGGCCACCTCAGGCGCAGGAAAACACCAACGAGGAGGGAGAAGGAAAGTCAGAACAGACTCTGCCAGTGAACTTGGGTCTAAATTTAAAATGAAAGAAAATGTTCTTAGTACTACATTTCACACCCAGCTTTAGGTCACTGAGAAGGACAGGGCCACTTTCCTAGGCTCCAGCCCAATACCAGCAGGACTTACGGAATCCAGGAGTTGCGTGTGTTGAGGAGGGGTAGCACTTCACTCTCAAGGTGAGGAAGGAGACAGGAGCAGACCCCTGTATACTCTCCCCGCACCCTGTGGCTGACAGGCACCTCCCTCCCTGGTCAGCCTCTCTGTCCCTCGTGGGCACCAGCCCCTCCCAAACCACTCCACATCTATCCGGTCTCCTCTTCCCCAGGAGAGTTAAGACACCAATCACAACATAAAAGTCATATAAAGGCCTCCTCCACTTGCCAAATAAAAGAGACAAAACCAAACTGGACACAAACACACATCAAGGAGAGACACACACACTGTGAGGGGCCGAGGGCCCCAGCAGGTCTCTGGCTTCCCGGCATGATACATTCTTGTGTAATTCAGGAACAGGGGCTCTGGGGCCCCTCTGGGGAGTGGGAGTAAAAAAATACAGAGATTACAGTCTCCCTGTGGGTTCCCAGGCAGGGCAGGGGCAGACACAATCTCTCACAGTTTTTTCTTCTGTTTTTGGTTCCACATCTGATCCCCCACTGGGGCTGGTCAGCCCCCGCTCTGCCCTTGGGGCCGGCCCCCTCCACCCTCCCAACTGCTAGGAGGGCCCTGGGCTGGGGATGCCCCAGCCACTCCTAGTGGGACCAGCAGGACAGAGTCTACCAGGGGAGATGGGATGAGGACCTGGGCAAGGAATGAGGACCCACAGTTCCGAGATGCTGTCCTCTCGGTGGCCGGCCAGCCCTGCGTGCGCTGATCACCGGCAAGGGGCGTCCCCGTCCCAGCCGTCACCCCTTGAGGGGCTTGTCAGCCCCTCCGCTGGGGCTGCTGGCGCTGTCACTCTTCTTCCTGCGCAGGCTCTCAATCCAGCTGGAGCTGGAGCGGGTGGTGAAGCCAGAGAGCGCCAGGGAGCTGAGCCGCATGTTTTTGCCAGACATGATGAGCTCCCCGAAGCCCTCCTGGTGGGAGAAGGCGTAGCCAGAGCGCCGGGAACCCGTGCGACCCACCCGCCTCATGCAGCGGTGCTGGGCCTTCTGCTTCTTCCTCACCAGCTGGGTGTAGCGGACCTGGCGGGGGAGGCACGAGGGAAGGAGCCTCCATCAGCGTGGCAGCGTCAGACACCGCCTCAGGGAAGGGCCCCAGAGCGCCTGGGATGGGGCAGGCACGGGCACCTCCAAGACTGCCCAGGCTGTCTGAACCCAGGAAGGGCAGAGGACCACCGTCCACGCACTTAACAGAAACTGCAGCCACAGGCGTATTTAAGCCCAAGGGCTTTCGGACACACGAGCTCCATCCCCCAAAGCAGACAGGCTGGCCTCTCACCGTGTCCGAGAGATCCGGCTTCAGGTTCAGCCTGAGGAACCGAAAGGCGACCACAGGCATGATGCAGACGACTGTGGTGAGCACGATGGTCAGCCACACGGTGGGCTGGGCCAGGGTGTTCTGGGCATTACCTGGGAACAAAGGAGTCAGGGGCCTTGGGAGTCACAAAGCAGGTGCAAGGGCAGCACCACCCCGCTGAGTTCCCCATTTCTTTTTCTGGCAGCCCTACTTCCCCAGTCTCAAAACGTAAGTCATCCCTGGCTTCTCTTTCTCTCTACTCTCCAAATATTTATCTCCAACTTGAACTCTAGCTCCAAACTCTGAAAACAACTTCAGACCTGTTTTGTTTTGTCTTTTTTTTTTTCTTCTTTTGGCTGCACAACATGCAGGATCTTAGTTCCCCAACCAGGGATCGAACCCACACCCCCTACAGTGCAAGTGCCAAATGATAACCACTGGACGGCCAGGGAAGTCCCCAGACCTACTTCTTTAACTGCCTTAACCTGACGTCTCTGTTGAACATCTAACGGGCACCTCGGTTTCACACGGCTGAAAGTGAACTACTGTTTCCTCCACCCCAATCTGCTCCACGTCTTCCCCAGCCCAGGAGATGCCACCACCCACTAAGCTGCTCCAAGTAAAAGCCCCGGAGTCAACCTGGTTCCTACCCCCACCATCTCAGGCCCCCATCCAATCTGCTGGCTCCATTTCCAAAATATCTATGGGATTCCACCACCTTTCACTCGACTCCAAGCCACCATCATTGTCCCCTGGGTTACTGCTATAGCCTCCTAGCTGGTCTCCCTGTTTCTACCTTTGCCCTCTACCTTTTATTATCCACAAAACAGTAAGAGTGATCCTGTAAAAACATAAATCAGTTTATGACATTTCCCTGCTCAAAACCCTCTGATGATGGCTTCCTATCACATTTACATTAAAATTCAAAGTTCTTACTTTGACCTATAAAGGCTTAAATTACCTGGACTGATTCTCATCTCTACCCTCCTGCCTCAGCCATACCTTCCAACCTCGTTTCCTTCACTCCCCCAGCTCCTCTGCTGCTGACGACCTCCCCACAAGCCCTCACCTAAGGCTTCCATATCACTGTTTCCTCTTCCTGGGCTGTTCCTGTCCAGAGAGGCACATGGCTCACTCCTTCCCTTTATTCAGATTTCTCTGTGCCAATGTCTCTTCCTCAAAAGGGCTTTGCTGATGACCCTTGTACCTTGATGCCATTCCCCACTCTCTCCTCAAAAAAAAAAAAAAAAAAAAAGAGAGGCTCCTGGCAAGTCAAGTGCACACCTGACAGCCTGGCATTCTGATTCCTCAAATGGCCTGCCTTTCTAGCCTCTCTTCCACTGCTTCTCAAAGGGTATTCTTGTCCCACCCTAGCTGGAGCACTCTCTATTTCCTGGAAATAAACAGCCTTTTCACACTTCCAGCTCTCTGGCTTGGAATCTGGCTCCCCAGTCCTGGCTACACCCTCAGCAGCCTCTTCTGGGGGACTATCCCTGACCACCCCACAAACAGTCATTCTGCTGACCATGAAGCCTGCCACCGCTTCGCCTCCCTTGTAGCCTGGCAGGGCTGTTCTTCATTTTCATGGATACAGAGACTCTCTGAGGGCAGGGCCTGGGTCGGATACAACTAGATCCCGACAGCACCCTGGCAGAATACCTGGCACATAAAGAGTGTTGAATAAATGCCTACCTACCCCGTTAGTCCCAGAACAACTGTGATTCCTCACTGATTAAAGAGGAAGCCACAGGCACTCACCCACAAACCGGAATTGGTTTGGAAACATGTCGAAGAGCCCATTGCTGTGCATGGCAAAGAGGATAGCAAAGTAAACCGCCAGGCTGCCCCAGATGAAGAAGTGGTTGATGGCCGTCCAGTAGCCGGTATCCAGCCCAATCTGCGAAAAGCAGTTGTTACAGGCAGAAGGAGCACCCCCACACACACAAACCCAGTCCCCCCTCCCAGGAACAGAACTGCAGTGCCCAGTGTACCCCAAGGACAGGAGCCCCACCCCTTCCAGAGGGGAGGCCAGTTCCCGGACTGCCTCCTACCTGCACACTGACCACGATGACCAGTGAAGTGGCCACGGTGACCGCAAAGGACTGGTAGTCAGCCAGCTGGGTGCCATCATCGCGGGTGGCCTCAGCAAACACCCCATAGGGGATGAAGAACATGAGCACAGATGTGTAGATGCCCTGGGCGATGCAGATGAAAAATTCACGCTTGTTGAAGAGGAGGTTCAGCTGGCCTGGCTCATACAGCTTAGGGTACTCCATGCTCCGCTGCTCCGGGACATCCTGTGTGCGGAGGGCCAGCGGCACAGGAAGTCTCAGAAGCTGCCGCTTTAACTCAGGAAGGCCAAGGGCAGACTCTGTCCCCCTGCCTCTTTTTTTTCTAAATTCGACAGCTATATCCGACCTCAAGCCAGCTGCCCCCAATCCATCTTTTGTTCAGCAACCCAGGGGAGTTACAAGTCAGGTGTGGCTGAGAGGGAGAACCAGCCACACCCTGAGCAGCTCACAGAACTGCCTTCCCAGGGACCACAGGCAGTGGGCACAAGCCTACCCCTATCAGGTGGCTCCCTTGCAGCAACGTCTTTCTCCCCAGCCCGCCCGGTCATCCAACTCCCCCATACCTGATCGAAGACCCCCATAGCCAGGACCGGGAGGGAGGTGTACACGATGTTATAAAGGGTGATGAAATACTGGTCATAGACGGTCTGGAAGGAGAACAGGGAGTGAGAGAGGAGTGAACATGCAGTCTTTCTTCACTACAAATCAGGCGGAGGAAGACAGCCGATGTGGCATATGTGGAGGCCTAAGGAATTTTCTGGAACTCCCTCTCCACTTCTTCAACAAGCATTTTTTTAAATGCATGCATCAGACAACAGCTAGGCCCTAAGGGGACCAAGCAATGAACAGGACAGATACAATCTCTGTCCTTAAGGAGCTTAAGGATTGGTAAGTCAGGGCAGTGGGGAGCTCACTACCTGGGCCGAGAAGCCGCAGAAGAAGCCAAACCAGAAGTGGACCATGGTGAAAGCGAAGTTCTTGTAAAAGAAATAGCAGAGGAACTTGCACATGCGCAGGTAGGACCAGCGCCCATGCACCAGCAGGAGGCGTTGCAGGAACTTGAACTGGGAGAAGGAGTAATCGGAGGCCAGGACAGCCTGGATCCCTTCCTGCCCACTGATGCCCACACCAATGTGAGCCGCTGCAGAGACAAGAGATGACAAGAGGATGAAGACAGCCACACCCTTCAGACTCACATCACATTTTGGCCCCCTCCCCCATCATTCCTCCCTGGGCCCCTCTCCCTTCCCCAGCGCCCAGCCGCCACACCTACGCAGTCCACTCACTTTTGATCATGCTGACGTCGTTGGCTCCATCTCCGATGGCAAGGGTCACAGCCTTCTTGTACTTCTTAACCAGTTCCACCACTTGTGCCTTCTGCAAGGGGGTCACCCGGCAGCAGATGACAGCTTTGCAGGCACAGGCTGTCTCCAGAAACTCCAGCTCCATGTCTGCCTCTAACGCATGGGCCTGGGAACAGAGTGCTGAGAGAGCCCCAGTCTTCTCCAGGAGAGACCTGGGGGTCAGCTCGTCCAGGTCCCTGTAAGACCGCAGCCCCCCTGAAGTCCAGGGAAATGGGAACATGGTAAGACCTAAGAGCCGCTCTCTGAAAAGGTACTGCCCAAGCAAAGGATGACGACACTTACCAGGCTGTGCCCGTTGATGACCAGGGCGTACTCCCCAGCCACGGCTTCCAGGACAGAAGTGAGCTTGGAAGAAGAAAGCTTCTCCTGGTAGGTGAAGCCGTTGCCTACAGTGCGGGACGAGTCCATCATCTTCTCCCGGGCTTTCCTGTGAAGGGGGAAACAAGACCGTGGTCTGCCAGGAGAGGAGCAGGGATTCAAGCCCAATCGAGGAACCTCTGCCCGACCCCCAGGTACACTGCAGAGCATCTACCTGCCTCGAGCCTTTTTACCTGAGCTCCTCCCGCACTTCCAGGACCGTGTGGCCAGTGACGATGAACACCTCCGTCATGTCGTCCGTCAGCATCTTGCAGGAATAGCCAATGTTCACGGCCGTCTCTACCAAGAAACATTGCAGGAGCTCTGGACAGGCCCCCGACAAGGTCAGCGCAATTGCCAGCCCGATGTCCCAGGCTCATGCAAGGACTCCACAGGGCTGTGTCCAGATGCAATCTCCTTGGCCCTGCTCGTTCTCACCTTGCTTGTCCCCTGTCAGCACCCAGATCTTGATGTTGGCCAGCGTCAGGAGGGCGATGGTCTCTGGAACCCCTTGCTGAAGCTTATCCTCAATGGCCGTGGCGCCCAGCAGCTGAAAATACCACAAGGGTCCCTGGGACGAGAGTCCAGGCATGACCCCTCCTTGCCCACGCTTGGCCCGTTCTGCGGCCCATACCATCATGTCGCTCTCAACCTCCTCGTAGACGCTGGCCAGCCGGTCCTCCCGGCTGTCCTGGGCCAGGCTGGCCTGGAGCCGTCTCTCGGCCCACTCCTCGTAGTACTCTTCATCCAGATCCTTGTAGGCCAGGACCAGGGTCCTCAGCCCTTCGCCCGCGTACTCCTGGAGAAGGAGTCAGGAGAGTCAGCCCCCAGCCCCTCCCACGACCCCGCGAGTAGCAGAACCACAGGGCTCCCTTCCTCACGCCTACATTCAGGTGGTCAGTGGTGATGTTGAGGAGCTCTTGGGTGGAGTGGTGGAGTCTGTCCAGCAAGATGGTGTCAGCCCCTTTGCAGTACAGTCGGATCTTCCCCTCTGGATTCCGCACTACAGGTGGGGCGGGGGGAGAACGTCCCAGAAAAATTCAGACAGGTGAAGCCCCCCAACCTTAAAACATCAAGGGTCACCCAGTACACCTCACCCATCCCGGGTCTGCATGCTGCCCCTGAATGCCCCCCGCACCCCCGTCCCGGCCTCACCTATGACTGACATCCGTTTGCGGATGTTGTTGAAGTCCAGGATGGCCAGCAGCTGGTAGGTGATGGCTGTGCCCATCTCGTGGACAGTGATGGTCTTGGGTGTACGAGAGCGGAATACGAAACCAAAGTTCCTGGCTGCGGTGACCAGAGCCCCCTCGTCTGGCGACTGGGCTTTGTAGTACAGCTCCCCTGGGTGGGGAGGAAGAACACAGGTGGTGTCAGTGGCCCCATTCTCAGCCGAGTGTCCCGCCCAGGAAGGCCCAGGCAGCCACACTGCAGATCACAGCCCGAGCCCAAAGGCACAAGTCAGGTGGGGGAGAACACAAGCCAGCTCCTCGGCTCACCTTCGTTTTTCTTTTTTTTTTTTAAGGCCGTGCTATGCAGCACGTGGGATCTTAGTTCCCTGACCAGGGCTCAAACCCGGGCCCCCTGCATTAGAAGCGTGGAGGCTTAACCACTAGACCTCCAGCGAAGTCCCTCACCTTCGTTCTTTTCTTCTGACATGACGGTGTGACACAGGGAAAGGAGGCGGAAGAACTCGTGCGTGTGTGGGTCCCCCATCTTGACAGCCTCCAAGAGGGTAGGGTCCCAAAATAAGAACTTCTTGTCAGCCAGAGGATTGAAGGAGAAGTTGACGGGTTCAGGCCTCTGGAGCAGGTTAAGAGTGTGATCAGGAAAGGGTGGGCCACGAGGCTGCCTCCCAGGGAGGCGCTGTCCCCACCAAGATCCTGTCCACTGTGGACCTCAAGATTCCCACTTCTGCTACCAGCTCTTCCTTAGAACACCATTTCCTCCAAGCAGCCTCCATTTCCTGACCAGACAACACATCACTCCTAACCACACCAACCCTGCCCAGGCACCCTGTGTTTAACTGGCACAGACAATCACCATGGGGTCTGGACCTTACCTCTCCCAATTCAGCTTTGTGGCCCAGGACATCGAACACGTCACCTACACACAGCCAGGACAGAAGGAGGAGCACCGTCAGAGCTCGAGACCTCACAGAGCAGGGGGAGAAGCCTCCAGCACAGGACCCCCACAGGCATCTGGAACCCGCAACCCTAGTCGCTGAGTGAATGTCACCCAGATTCACACGGCTGACTCAAAGGACAGAAGGTGCAGGCACCCTGGATCCTCAGAACCCCAGGACTGAAAGCCATGACACCCACTGCTCTCCATCCCCATCCACGCTCCAGCTGCCCCCCAGGACAGCTCCAATTCCACACCCATGTCCCTAGGGCTCCCAGGCCCTTCGGGTGCCTTTCGCTCTTTAGGCCTGCACAACAGACAAAGCCTCACACACTGGCCATGGGGCCTGGGTTAGTAGAGAAAGCAGTTAGGAGAGGGGCTCACTCTGCATAAAAGACCCCACACACGCTGCCCAAGCCATCCCAGCAGCTCAGCCACAAGGCCACTGCAGCGGGGCCACACTGGAAAGGCCATGGTCACATTTCAGAGACTCACAAGGGCCCTGGACAGCAACACAGGGAGAGTCTAGACTCCAGCAGGGCTGACAAGGTCCAACCTGGCCGGTGTGCCCAGGGGCCAGTGTCTTGGGCTTCACTTCAAACAGCCAAGGAGCTCCCCTATTGCCTGGAGCTGGGATCGGGGTGAGGGCACCAGCAGAGGAGAGCGGAAGCACTGTCAGTGTCTACCTCCTGACCCAGGGCGCAGAGCAGACCCTCTCAAGTCCCACAGACCCAGGTAGGAAAGAAGTAAAACCCAAACATCAAGACAATTGTGGGAGCCCCAGTAGCACAATCCTTCAGGCAAGACGCAAGCCCTCGGTCCCTGGAGGTGCAGCCATACCGTAGCTGCGGCCGTTGATGGAGCACTTGTTGAAGACCATGATGTTCTGGGTGAGGGTGCCTGTCTTGTCAGAGAAGATGTACTCCACCTGGCCCAGCTCCTCGTTCAGGGTGGTGGTGCGGGCCTCCGCGGGCGTCCGCTTCTTCATGCAGAACATCTTCTTGTCCCAGTTGATGAAGTAGCTGTGGCCCAGGCGGATGACCTCCACGCTGCACAGGGTACAGGAGGTGAGGCTGGGGGCAGGAAGGGGAGGGGGACCCCACCCCCATGGGCCTTTGCTGCAGGCCCTCCGCCTGGGGAGAAACAAGAACGGAGCGGATACCTGGGCAAGGACACCTGGGTGCGGGAGGGCAAGGAGAGCCTAAAGGTGGGGGTCCCCGACCCTGACCCTCTGACACTCTCCAGACAAAAAAGGTGCAAAGGGCCTGGGCAGGCGGGACAGACGGCACAGGCAGAGGAGAGGGGACTGCGGACAAGGCACTCGACCAGTTCTTACCTCAGGACTAATAATACAGAAACCATGCAGAGAAAACAAGAGAAAGTGCAAGAGGGAAGGAAGAGGAAAAAAAAAAGAGAAAAAGAAATAATGAGGGTGCTGCGCGTGCCACAGGCACACAGACGTCCCTGCAGGGAGAGAAAACCGAGGAGGCCCTGGAGCCCGTGCCTTGCTGCCCGAACACAGGCGAGCTCACTCCTTCCGCCCGGCTCTGGGCTGCACAACCTGACCTGGGGTGTTTGGGAAGAAGGCGGGGCAGACTGAGATGCTGACTCCAGAAGGAAGCGGGGCCTCAAGAGTCTGGGGAATAACACCAATTTACATCGGCACAGGGCTCTCAGCATCCCAAGGTGTATTCGCATCACCCTCTTTACTAGGCATTACCCTTGGGATTTGGACTGTTAGCATCTCAGAAAGGGCCCCATGTTTAGGTCCAGCACAGCCAAGCAATGGGGCCACACCTGGAACCCTGCTTCCAACCTGACTGAGGCTGCTGTCAGGATCCAGCTACCACACAAAAAATGAGCTGGCTGGAAATGCCTTGATGGCCTTTGCCCCACTCCGCTGATCAAGCGTCCCCTCTCCACCCTCCCCGCAAACACACACTGCTAACCTGATGACACTTAGAAACTTTCTCAGGCAGCTACCATAGGTTTCGAGTGAACTTGGATACCAAACAAAGACAGCAAAGTCCAAAGGTGGAAAAAAAAAAATCAGATTGGAAACAAGAAAACCTTTAAATAGTAATGAAATACCAGAGTTGTGATGATCATGATGAACGTGCTACCACCCGTTATTCGTACAGTAATTTAATTTTTAAAAAGTATTTTCCAATCTTGTATCTTATATCAAAATGTCCCTATTAAGAGAATGAAACTGGTATTATTCTTCCCATTTTACATGAGAAAACCAAGGCCCTAAGGGACTGTGGATTTGCCTGAGGTCACGTGGCTACTGAGTAGGCAGGACTAAACCACAAGCCTTCTGAGTCTCCTTCTAATGTTCAAAAGCCCCTGTCCACTGTCCACCCTCAGCACAGAAACTCCTTATCTCCTACTCACTGTCAACAGCACTAGGACTCAGTGGCTAGTGGGGAGATCTGAGGACTATTTGGGGAATCTATGTGAACAAAAAACAACATATGGGAAGAGATCTGAGCATCTCTGTAAAGCATTTCCTCAAAAATGTTACAGGTTGGGAGTTCCCTGGCAGTCCAGTGGTTAGGACTCTGCGCTTTCACTGCCGAGGGCCTGGGTTTGATCCCTGGTCAGGGAACTAGGATCTCACAAGCCATGCAGCCAAAATAATAATAATAATAATAAAGTATACAATTCGATAAATTAAAAAAAGTCATAGGTTCTCTTATCTCAAGTGCAAGGCACTAAATACAAAAATATCTTCTCTCTTCTTGCCATTCTTTCTTCCTCCTGCATCCCCCCGCCCTTCCTGTTCATTCTCCCTGTTAACATTCTCTTTCCTGCAAACATCCTAGATGTCCTCTTACTCCTATTCATGCGGTAGGCCACTGCCAGCCAACACTTCCTAAAGCATTCTTTAGACTTTTTTAAAGAATCTTTTAATGGTTTCCTAAGTAAAAGTCCATTGGCAAAGATTCAGGACCCTCCACAATAGGGAACAAGCTTGTGTTTCCAGCTCTCTGTCTCACAGCCCCCCACTCACAGTCCATGATCCTGCCAAACTGTCCCAGGACCAACCATTGCAAGGTCCCTATCTCTGTGCCTTTGTTTCCAGCCCTCTCCTCCAGGCTCCACCTTCACCCATCCCTGCCACCATTCAAAGCTCAGTTCACCAGCAACCTCTTCAAAGATGTCCTCTCTGATTAACTATGCGGGGAGTAATGCTCTTCCAACCCTCATGGCACTTAGTGCCTCTGTGGTATCTCAGTGGGATGCATGGTAGCTCGGTGTCTTACACTGTTTGCATCTCTCCTCCCCTACCAGTTTGCTGCTTTTGAAGGCAGAGGCTGTATTACACATCAACTGTGTCCCCTTGCTTTACACATAAGGGTAACACTGAACGTGTTACAGCACTAGCTCCCATTTTGTTTTATAACATGTTCAGATTTATCTCCCTTTACTAGACTGAAGCTCCTGGAGGGAAGGAAATCCATTCTTAATACATCTTTGTATGTGCCACAGCACCTAGCATGCTTCTTTGCACAAAGTCTGCATGCGATAAATATGTGCTGAATAAATCAATATGGTTTTTATTCTAATACAATCCAAAGTACCAGGAAACTGTGGTGAAGTTTGCTTTGTACAAAAAGATAAACAGATAATATAAAATGTTCACAGCACAGGAAGGAGAGGACCCCAAGTTCCCTCTCGAGAATTTCATCTTCACAGAAGACTGAAGTTTGCCAAGGGACCACCTGAGCTCCCTGGAGAGACCCCAGAGCAGAGAGAGCACATACCTGACATAGAGCGATATGGGCACGACGGTGTTAAGGATGATGATGTAGGACCAGAAGGAGAGGAAGCCAGAGAAGAAGGCACTGTCCACCGCCTCATCCCAGGGCAGGTAGACCTGGAAGCGTGTCCCAACCTCGTGCTCCCAGATGGCATTGCCAATGGCTAGGATCACCCCCATGCAGACCAGAAATCCAAAAATCTGCAGAGGAATGAGAAACAGAGGCTAAGCTGCCACTTAGGAAGCCCTCAAAACCAAGTGCATCTCTGAAGGTCACCACTGGTACCCTGAGCCCTTGAAAGCTCAGGCATCTTTTTTTTTATATAAATTTATTTATTATTTATTTATTTTTGGCTGCGTTGGGTCTTCGTTGCTGTGCACAGGCTTTCTCTATTTGTGGCGAGCAGGAGCTACTCTTCATTGCGGTGCACAGGCTTCTCATTGCGGTGGCTTCTCTTGTTGCGGAGGATGGGCTCTAGGCATGTGGGCTTCAGTAGTTGCGGCACGCAGGCTCAGTAGTTGTGGCTCGCAGGGTTAGCTGTTCCGTGGCATGTGAGATCTTCCCGGACCAGGGCTCTAACCCGTGTCCCCTGCATCGGCAGGTGGATTCTCAACCACTGCGCCACCGGGGAAGTCCCTCAGGCATCTTTAAAATGGTGGCATGCTCTAGTGGGAAGCACCCAGAACTGGTGACAGGTTCTAGTCTGTCACTGACCATCACGTGGACTTTCTCTCACGATGTTTTCTCAACTGTATGCTGGGAGGGCTGAAATGGTTGTGTAGCTCCCACTCTGACATCCTAAAACATTTGGGAGACCTCAACAATGGTAAGAGTGGGGGTGAGCTACTTTCAACATACCAAAGAAGCTTATTAGAAATCACCCATTTACCGGAGCTAAGCCTCTACAAGCTAACAAAAATGCCGGGACTTGCCTGGTGGTCCAGTGGCTAAGACTCCACGCTCCCATCGCAGGGGGCCTGGGTTAAATCCCTGGTCAGGGAACTAGATCCCACATGCCACAACTAAGAGTTCTCATGTTGCAACTAAAGGTCCCACATGCGACAGCTAAGACCCAGCGCAGCCATAAATAAATAAATAAATATTTTTTTAAAAAGTGCCAAGTTTCTGTAATGTTCATTGTCTTATACAGATTGCCAAAAAAAGTCTTTTAACCAAGACACAAATTATGTCTTCCTAAATGTAGATTTCTTAATAGTCAAAAAACTTATAAAGTTTGGAGTCCTTGAAGAAGGATCATAAGAAAGTTTTGGTGGTTTAAAAGAAAAAAATTGAGACCATTGCGTGATTTCAGACATCTATCTTCAAAGCTGCCTCCACTCTGGATGCTTTGAAGCAAAGCAGGAACCATCCTGATGTCCAAGGACTACCAGGGGGCGATGCAAGCCTTGGCCTGATAGCCTCTCAGACTGGGGTTTCTGCAAACCCTTCAAGGCCAGGGAGGAAACTGTCTCACCAGAGGCTGACCCCAGCTTTTGCAAGCTGGCATGTGGGGGGCAGGCAGCAGGCAGTGGGAGCACAAGAAGGGGAGGAGAGCCCAACAAGGAGCTCAAATTTCTAGCCAAACAAGAGAAGGATTCAGGAATTGCCAAAAACTAAAACAGAAACTTTTCCTTTGGGATCCTTTGCTCTTGGAAGTCAGGGGAAAAGACCCTGCTATCCATCCTCCAAATGGAAATTTTTCTTTTAATTCGCTCTCCATCCCCATGAAGGCCTCCTTGTCCCTGGCAAAGCAAACAGAAGGTCACATGCTACACTAAGTCACCATCATAACTGGAATCCAGAGAAGGGAAGATTTGTTTTAACTTTCTTTAAGTTGTTGATTCATGCACGTTCCTAAGGTTTTTTAAATAACGTCTTCCAAGTCCAAAAAGAGCCTGAAATAAACACTGTCTTTGAGTGGTTGACCTGCCAGTGGCTTTAAAAGCTAAAACCTGAAGGCTGACTACTGACAAGAGAGGAGAGATGGAAGTAAAGGGACCCGCCCAGGGAGAACCAGAAGGGCAGAGGCAGGAACCATATGTGGAAAGCCTTACCCAGAGCACCAGTGTATTCATTAGGCGATCAATACTTGTTCTCTTGAACTTTGTCCTGCCGCTGTTCTGCATCAACTTAGTGTCAGGACCTAGAAAGGAATGCGAAGGGCTGGGAAAGCCAAATAACAAATCTGCCTCTGGGCTTCTGCCCTGATCCCCAGACTACAGGACATCAGGGTGGAAGAGAGACACTGGGTGGATGAGAAGCTTGGATCCAGGGCCCACTCAGCTTCCTCCCACATTCCTGCGGGAGGGTGAAGGCAGCAACTCTCACCCTTCTTTCTTTGGGCCCTAGGAGGCTCACCTGCAAAGATGACCAGCCCGAAGCACCACTCGGTGTTTCGCAGCACGCAGCCCCGCAGCAGCATGTTCTGGTTGCTCAGGGGGAACTTGTTCTCCTTCCAGTAGAGGGTTCCGCTGAATTTGTCCAGCTTATTGTTGGGAGGTTCGCAGATCACTTCACCTGAACAGAAGACAAGAGTGCCCCCGTTCAAGGTGCAGTCTGTAGCTTAACCATGAGACAGCAACACAGAAAAAGAAGCTGCAGGGAGATGGTGTTAGGATGTGAGCCCATCACACACTGCTGGTGGGAGTGTGAACTGATGCAACTTTCTGGGAAAGGAATGAAGCAGCATGAACTCCTATTAAAAGTACACATAGCCTCAGACCCAGTAATCACACTTTGGGGACTCATTCTACAGAAATGATAGCATAGGGCTTCCCTGGTGGCGCAGTGGTTAAGAATCCACCTGCCAATGCAGGGGACATGGGTTCGAGCCCTGGTCCAGGAAGATCCCACATGCCACGGGGCAACTAAGCCCATGTGCCACAACTACTGAGCCTGCGTGCCACAACTACTGAGCCTGCGTGCCACAACTACTGAGCCCACGTGCCACAACTACTGAAGCCCATGCGCCTGTGCTCTACAACAAGAAAAGCCACCCCAATGAGAAGCTCGTGCACCACAACGAAGAGTAGCTCCCCCTCACTGCAACTAGAGAAAGCCTGCGTGCAGCAACGAAGACCCAACACAGCCAAATTTAAAAAAAAAAATGATAGCATAGCTCAAAACAATTTTATTGAAGCATTATTTGAAGAGCAAAAGACTGGAAACAACTGAATAGTCAGGGGAGAGCTGAACAAATTACAATACATCAATTCTATGAAACATTATAGGGTTATGAAAAAGAATGATGTAAATTTCTTTACATAGTGACATGATAAGATACTTATGATGAATTTAGTAAGTACAGAAAGGCGGTTGCAGAGGTTTTAGTACAGTATGATCCCATTGATTTATGCTCACGTGTCTGTATAAACAGAAAAGTGTGGATGAATACACACTAAACTGCCAGTTAACGTGACTACCTAAGGAGACTAGAATTGGAGGGAAGGAGGGCTTTTTCTTATACGTGCTACATAGTTTGTCTTGTTAGAAGGAGCATATATCATTATTCTGAGACAAATAAGAAATAAGAATAAGCTGAATTTCAACATGTACAGCAAGGAGGGAGCTATCAGCCATGAGAATCTCTTGAAATGACCATCAATTCACAAGTAAATGATAGCCACCTGGCATTCCTGACACCCCTGCCTCCCAAAAACCCAAAAAAGTCCAGAGCGGTGCATAATCACAGGAACAAGAAGCCAAAAAGAGAAGGCACAATTTAAACCCCCAAACCCACCCACCTCCTCTACCTGAAAGCTGCTTCTCCAAAATTACTCACCATCAAACTTGGCAAGCTTACTGATGTCTCCCAATTCCGAGGTGACTGGAATCGCCTGCCGTACTTTCATGTTGGTCTCTCTGGAAGGACAGTGTCCCTGAGGCCTGGTTCCCTTCTCTTCCTCTAGATTCTACCTGGGGGCACCTGACCATGGAGGACCACCCCCCCACCGCAGGCATTACTAGGTGGTAATTCTTTTACACACCCCAAAGGCTTTCTTACCCATCAATTTTCCAAAAGGTACAGAGCCCAGACCTGGGAACCTCTTTCAAAAGCAAGCTTGTTACCCCAAAGGAGGCAGAAGGAGATGTATGACACTGAGCATGCGACTTACCCATCGAGTTCTGCTGTCTCTATGTAACACAGCCCATGGGGCTCACTGCTGGAAAGGAGGAGGAGATCCGCCTAGAAAGAAAACCTAGTGAGAAGGCCAAAGACCCAATCCTCCACCCGCAATGGACTCTTTGATGATCCCTCCTTCCACTAAGCACTCTTGGTTTGCTTAGTCCCAAGCATGTGAATGGCTAGAAAGGAGGCATATTAATATGACACAGAAGCTTCCCACTCAAGAAAGTTTCCTCCCATGTGTGTTTAAGAGGCAATAGTCAATCAGGAAAGACTCATCCCTTTCTGCCAAAGTAAAGGGAGAGCACTGTAGGCCTAGAGGGGCACCTTGTCCCTTACCGCCACAAACTGGTTATTTTCTAGCTTGATAATATCACCAACACAGACATTCATCCACTGCTCTTGCTGGAGGCTGAGGCAATGAGAAGATAGAGAAGAGGCTGTCAGTAGCTAGAGAAGTTCCCAGGGGACCCCTTTCTTCCCCAAGGCCCTCAGTCTCCAACAGGCACTCACATTCCATTGATCAGCACCTGAGACTGACGGTTATTCACCTGGTTATCACTCTTGTGGCGGAACTGAAGAGAGGAAAGAAAGGTAAGACACCTTCTCCCGCTCCAAGGGACTTAGATGATCAGTGGAATGCAGAGCATGCTGGGTACCACCTTGTCTACACCTGTTCACAGGTCTACTCTCTCCCTGACTCCCCCTCCCTACTCTCGGCCAAGATATCATGGATCTAGCTGGACCAGGTAAGGAATGGCAAGGTCACTGAGGAATTGTGCTGGGTGGAGGAAAGTGAGTTGTGGGGTGGGGGGTGGGAAAAAGGTATAAGAATGAAAACAACTCACATAGTCATCAGTGGCGTCTTTAACAGCTGTGATTGTGAGGACAAGAACCAAAGGCACAATGGTGGTGAACCAGGAGAGGGAGGAGATCTGTGGGATCAACTGAAAAAAGAAAAGAGAAGGCATGCTTCCGAGGCCCCGTCCTCGTTTCCCCTAGACCTTTCTCTTCCTTGACTTTATATCGCTTTGTGAGTTGCAAAGGGTTTACCACAGGTCACTTACCTGCAGAATGAGAAGGAACAGGAAGTAGGTATTGGCAACTTCCTGGAACTGCTCAAAGAGGTTGACAGGCAGGAAGGTGAGAATATTGTACTTGGAGGTCTTGATGCAGTTACTCTGTGGCAGTGGGAGAGAAGATAATGAGGCAGCCTCCAACCCCAACCCAGAATGAGACTGAGGCTGCCTCCTCCGTCCACACTTTCCAAACCTCTGTCCCCAAAAGCCAGTGACCAGAGGTGTGGGAGGGCGAAAGAGGAGGAGGGAAGAGAGTCTCACGGGGTCAATGTATCCTGCTTCACTGACAGGTGAAGGCCATGAAAAATTCAGCACACAGCAGGTGGAGAGTGGCGAGGAGGCTGCCTTCCCCTCCCTCAAGCACTCTCCCAGCAGTCAGCCCTGTGTCCCAGCCTAGGACAGATGGGATGCACCTTTCCCCTTTCTGACTCAGGAGGAGAGCACAGGTGGTCTAGAGCCACTTACCGCATACTGGAATCTCTCATTGTATTCTCGGTCATTGGCCCGCGCCCTCCTTTCTTCTTCTGCAACAGAATGATGCTGCAGTCAGGAGCAAACTGAGGCCTGGCCCAACACCTTGTCAGGCCCACCCCACTCTATGGGTTTTCCACTGAGGGGCCTTGGTTCCTGCCACAGCACACAGTTTTTAAGGAGTTAGCACCACACCTGAGGTGCCACTAAATTCTTCCCTCTAGTCCACCTCTCACCACCAGCCTGACCACTGGGCTCTGGAGGTATTACATTCTCAGGGCAAGATGCCTTCTCCTTTCCTCACCAACAACCATCAAGGTCTTCCACTGGGGACACTCAGTTTCTCTCCCCCATCCCTTTAATTAATGCTGTAGGAATTAACGGCATTGGGTATCTCCAGAGGAACAGTAGCTGAAGACACTAAGCTTCCGTCTCCTGGAAACCCCTGCAGATCAAGCCACGGTACTGCCCTCCTCCTAACCTAGTGGGTGGGGTGGGTGGCAAGACAGAGGGTCACTGTGCCCTGGAACTGCTCTGCGGCAGCATCCCAGCCCCACGTGCAGTCCCCCCTACAGAAGCCTCTGCTTGTCACATGTCATCAGCAGCGGCTTCTGACTGGCCCACAATGACATCATCTTATTTCAAAGCTCATCTTCAAGTCGGGGGTGGGGGCGGGGGCTGGTCAGGGATATGGGTCATGCAGACTGAGACAGAGATGAAAGAGGGAGGAATGGGATGTAGCTGAAGCAGTTGCTCTCTAACCATAACCTTTCTTGTGCCATCTGCACATATTTCCCCTAAAAAACACATCTGTCACTGAGTGACAAATGAACTACACCTATTCTGAACACCCACGGATCTGGGACTGCAGGCACCAAGTTCAGGTCCCAGAATATGGGGTTGTCCTAGGAAGTGTTCTCCAGCCCATCTCCCGTGGTCAGGACCATAGGCTGAAAAAGGGGGTACCCTGGTTAGGCAGTAAACATAATGCAAACCGGTCCTGGAGCCAAAGGCAGCATTCCAGATGCCTTCCCTCACCCCCTCCCAAGCCCCCTGCAGGGCACACTGCAGTAACAAAAACCTCAGACCAAAGCATCCTCTGCCTACCCAGAGTGCTCCTTCCCTGCATGGTCACTTTACTCCCAAAACTTCCCCAGAGGGGACCCCTCAGGCTGAGTGCCTGTGCAGTCACCAAAGACCATGCAAAAGGAGAGGCAGGGACCAAACGCTTCGGAGTCAGGATCTCTGGGTTTGCAGAGGACAAGGGAAGGCTGGGGGAGGCCGGGGACAAGCGAATGTGAGGGAGGAAGGGGGTAAATTACGGGCTCGGGAGAGCTGCCAGTCGCTGCCTCCTGTTACCTGTCCCCCAAGAGGGTTTCTTTCGGCTCCAGGAGGGGGGAGCCCCGGCCCGGGCCCACTTCTCGGGCATCTCCTTGGGGACCGTCATGATCCCAGTTTGAGCGGGGGAAGGGCGGGCTGTCTGTCGGTCTGTCCTCGGCCTCAGCGGCTCCGATGGGGCGGCCCCCCAGGGAGGCACCGGAGCTGCGGCAGCTCAGAGTGGAGCCCCGGCCGTGTGGCGCGCGCCCCACCTGCAGCCACGGCCATCCTCCCGACCGCCCGCACCCAGCGACGCCGCGCGCTCTGCTGCGCCACCGCCGCCCCCGATGTCCCCCGCGGACGCCAGCGCGCTCTGAGTGGCCCCGGACACGACTTGCACTCCCTGGGCTCCGCCCCCGCCCGCTCCCCCGACTGCAGGGGTAGCAGCCTGCCAGCGCGCCGCGTAGGCGAAAGCCAGCACGGAGTCCCGCCTCCCTCGGCCCGGCCAATGCGGGTGAGGGGACTGCCAGCGTTGTCCGGGGCAACCGCTTTCATCCCACCGCCTCCCACCCCCACCCCCGCCCTCAGAAAAACAAGGAGGACCTGGCCTTGGATGGGAAAATGAGGGGAGGAAACGAAGTGCGAGGACGGAGAGGAGATGGTGGGAACACAGCACCCCGGGCTCCCCAGACCACAGAATAGGAGCTCCAGGTGCCCCAAGATAAGAGTCTATGTGTTTGGGGGTGAGGGGCAGGTACTCAGCACCCTCCTGGGGAAGAACCCAGCTTAGGGAATCAAGGCGAAGAATTCGGTTTCCTAAGGCTCCCCCCAGGATGGATAGGGGCTGCAATCTACCCTCCTTCAGGCTCATTACCTGTCGTCCCTCTTCCTTTGCTCCCTGAGTCATAATAACACCCACTCTTGATGGTCCCAGGGATTCCCCCCGACCCCGCCTCCTGCCTGTCTTACCTGGGGGGCGCTTTTTTGCACACAGTGCCATCTCACCCAGCAAGGTCCCAGCAATCCCATGGGAGACCCTGCAGGAACGTGACATATGCGTGAGGTCAGGAAACTGAGGGCAACCTTCATTCCCCTTTTCAGACTCCTCCTGAAGGTTTTCTTCCCCAGTTCTGACCTTGCCCCTCCCCCAGCCTTCCCCACTAACTCCACAGCAACACTCTGCTCTTACTGCCCTGATAGGTCCCTGAGAAAGAAGAGGGAACTTCCCCACCACCTCCCCCAATGCCTCTGCCTTGGATAACATGAGGTGACTGACCCTTTACAAAAACCAAGACCTGCTGGGAAAGGAAGGGGGCAAAGAGAAGAAGCCAGATATTGACAGGAGGGGGCACAGCTCTCAAGGTACCCATCCCAGGGACAATGGATGCCCCATGTGCCCTCCTGGTGGCAGTGAGTGGGTGCCTGTGTTTACTGGAAAGCAGAATTTCCACTAAAGGGTGGGGTTGAGGGAACAAGAGCCAGGAAACACCTGGCAGAGCATCAGGAAACAGGGTGGGCAGGCCCCACCCTTCTCAAAAAGCTTATAATCTTCCCATCCCCCCCCCCATTACTGGGGCTTCCATTATCACCTCCTCCAGGGGAGCTCACTTTAGAGGCTTGGCCTTCACTTCCTGCACACAGTCCCCAAACCACTTCCTCTCAGTCTGGGTTAGCCGCCCTTCTGGGCCAGCAAAGGGGTCTTTTCAACCCTGCTGGGGAGTCATCCCTATCTCTCTCTCTCTCACCCCAAGCCTAGTCCAGTCAGTCTGGCACTGGGTGAAAGCTCAGGAAGCATCAGTCAGATGGACCTCTGCTTCTTTCTATCTCCCTATGTCCTTCCTTTCACCTAAAAAGGTAAAAGCCCTGGCCTATAAGACAGGGTCACAGAGCCTCATCCCAGCTTAGCTCAAAGGAAGCTGCCACCCAGATCCTGGGTCCTCTTGTCCACCTCTTTCTTTGTCTGGGTGGAAAGCCTTCCTACCCCTTGGTTCCCCTGTCTCCAGCCTCCTGGGAACACCCTGCCCGCCTGTCAGCCCTAAGAGATACTAATTGTCTGTCTGCCCAGCCTCTATAATTACACACTATGGCCAAGGCCCTGTCACCCACACCAATTCTTCGTTCACTAAGCCGGACTCCCTTCCTGAACCCCAGTCAGGCATATACCTAGAGCCAGAAGTCCTTTTCCTCTCTGACCCTCCCCAACCCTGGCAACCAAGGGAAGAAGAAAAACCTCATCCACGTTTTCGAGATGCCAAGCCTTCCTACAGGGCCCCCAGCCAGGGTCTCCACCCAGTCTAGAGTATGAGTCATAGGAGGGTGGGGCATGGAGAGGTTAAAAGAGAGGATGCAAGGGTGGGCATCACAAGTTCCATAGCCAGCCCCGCCCTCAGGGAGGGAGGCAATCAAGAAACACTATCAGCCTGAAGATCTGGGTTTGACTCCTATGACAGAAAGAGTTAATGAAGGAGCCGCACAGGCTGTCAGGAGTCTGGACACCTACCAGGAAAGTTGTTTTACCTCTAAGACCCTGGGGAGACTGAAAGCTGGCTGGCCCCAGACTTCATCCCCTCTGGGGTGCCATAATAGGGAAGGAAAGGGAGGGGTGAGACCTGGGAAGAGGGACCCTCTCTCACTTCTCCTTCCCAGTCTCACACAGCCTGGGTTTTCTGAGCCCAGGCCCATTAGCCACGTGGCTCTGCCCCGTCACCCTGCCCCAGCCCCCTCTGCAGCCACATTTGGGATAAAAATAGCCAGCTCTGGGAAGAAGGCAATGCTCCATGGAGGAAAACGGCTCCTCCTCTAGGCCTGGCCCCTGCTCCCCTCCAGCCCAAACCCAGGAAGCCTGACCCCTTCTTTTAGAGGAAGCTGGCAGGGATATTTATGGGCAGGTCAGGGAAACAGAAGAGAATGGAATCCAAGACCCCCGGCTCACTTGCCACCAACGCCTGGCCACTTTCCATGGCCAAGGACAGAACCCAGGACTCTCTCCCGGCTCTGGACTCCCAGAGCTAGCACCTCGCCTTGCACCCTTGGTCTTCCTCACGCACAGAGACCTCCACCTTACAGAGACAACGCCTACCACCCCCAAACTCCCTTCTCCAGGCACCCAAACCCTCGGACCCCGGGTACTCCCCTCACCCCCACGACTCTGGCCGGTTCTCCCCTCTCCGCTGCTCCATAAGCTTCTCCTCCACACTCCCGCGCCCCTTTGCTGGTCTCCACGCGCCCCTTCAGCACCCCACCCTCCCATCCTGCGGACGGCCTCCCGAATCTCCCCCACCCTGAGGCACCCAACACCATCTTCTCTCCAATCATCCACTCCCCCTCCTCCGTCTCACCGCAGCTCCGACTCCCTGTCCCCTGTCCTCCCCTGCCCACACCCCCCACCCCGGCCCCTCCAGTCCCGAGCCCGCGTCCGCAGCAGCATCTCCCCCTGCCCTCCCGGCCCCGCGCTCCTGGGCTGCTGCCCCCGCCTTGCCAAACCTCACCTCAGCGCTCAGCGCTCGGCGCCCGCCCCGGCGGCCACGTCCTGCCCATGCCGGGAGCTGGGGCGGGGGGCGCTCGGCTCAGCTCCCCGCGGGCTCCCGCCCCCCCAGCTGCAGCCCCTCTCCCCCCAGGGCCTCGGCCCGCTACTTTGTGTCAGTTTCGGCCACGGCGGGGCGGAAGTGACGGAGGTGGCGGGAGAGGGCGGGGGGCGGGAGGGGGTTTTGGGGAGGGATGAGGGAGAGGGAAGGCGGGAGCCGCCATCTTTGTGCGGGGCAGGGGGAGGGTCTTAACCCCTCTGATGCTCCTCCGCAGTGTGAGGCCGCTATCCCCGCCCCAACCACTCTCCGACCCATCCCAGAAAAAAAAAAAAAAAAAAAAAAAGCCTGGAGGCGAGATAGCGCTGAGATTTTTTTTTTTTGGAAAAAAAGGAAACAGAAGAACGCTGTTTATCTACTAATATGTGGGAGACTTAGGGAAGCGGTGAACGACGAGAATTTTCCTCCGCACCAGCTTTCTTTACCCCTACACTCATTCCCTCTGTTCCTTCGCCTTCTCTCCTCGCCCTGGCTCATCTCACTGTTCACCCTCTCCTTCAATGACACAGCCCGGAATGTCTAGGTATTGGGTCGTGCGTCAGTTTCTCCCGCTTGGTCTCCCAGTCTCTAGGCGCTTGCATGCCTGTGTTCCTCCGGCGGCCCTCCCTTTTTTCCCCCACCACGCCCCCTTGGTGGAGGCGGCTCCCCGTACCCCTAATTACTATCTGCGGGGTGCTGAATCTCTGCGAGGCGCCCCAGTGAGCGGAAAGGCGGGCGGCGCTGAGGTTACGAGAGCAAGGAGTCAGGCAGTGGGGACCAAGCTTTGGAGGAAGTCCCCTGGGTTATGCCCCGCACTAGATGGTCGGCCCCCACGATCCTGCGGATTCCCGCAGCCTTCCCAATCCGGGTTCCAGGGTGCGCACCCTCTGGCGGCTACTTTGAGGAACTGCGTTCCTGGAAGTCCAGGGTCCGAAAACCTTCCTGGGGCAGGAGGCGATGAAAAGCCTAGGTCCCTTACCTGATCCTCTTCAATTCTCCCTGTCCAGGCATCCTCCCCAGTTTAGGAGGAAGCGATGCCTAGATGAGTAAACGGAGAAGCTGCCCAGGGCCTGGTGTATTAATAAAGAGAAAAAACGTCTTGTCACCAGGCATGGGTCTCTGGCCCTCTTCAGTGTCCATGAGGGAGGTGAGGACTGTCATGTCAGAATCACAGCTTACTCTCATGCACCTGAGTTGCGGCAGGACTTTCCGAGTCTGAGGCTTCAGGTTGGGCACACTCTAAATCCTGAGCTGGCTCTGAGTGCTCAGGATGATGCAGAGCCACCAGCCGCTAGTGTGTGGCTGTGCTAAGTGTGGCCCTCCCTAGAGGGCCTACCACCAGCCATTGCCAGCGCTACAAGAGAAGATCAGAAGGGCGATATCAGGGTGAGTCCCTTAGCCTTCCCTCTGAAGGACTGGCGGTAGTAGTAAGAGAACTCCCTAAAGCAGTTCCTGGGGTGATAGACACCAGAAAGAAGGTGTCTTGGCACCAGAGCATAGCACTTAAAGAGGAGACTCCAGGAGAGCTTGGTCCAGCCTCTTGCCTTAGGGAATTATCTGAATATCTGTGTTTTGTTGATGAGATTACTAATGTCCAAACAGGTAATGTGACGTGCCCAAGAACACAACCTCTAAATGTCACTGTTTCAATGAAAAGAGTGGAGGGGGAGGCAGGGGACAAAAGAGAAAGGGAGAACTTGGGCTTAGAGGAGGTTCACTGTCCTAAGAGGCCAAGAGAACTATTTAAAAGGAAGATATGGGGACCAAGGCTTAGAGCCTTTAGCAGAGGGATGAGTGGAAGGACAGCACCAGGGGAGGCCATCTCTCACCTGAAGACTTCAGGGCCCCAGCCAGCTACGTAGGTGAAAAGCCGTGGGTCAAGGTCCCAGGCAGGGTTGATTGGGAACCCACAGCTGGCACCCATGGATAGCCTGATGGCCAGGATCAGCAACCCCACTACCACAGGCTCCACACTCGCAGGCACTCCCTTGTTCCGTGTGTCCAGGATGGCTAAGATCCCCACAATCAGCATCCAGGTGCCCAGAACCTTGGAGTGGACAGAGGCAGAGGGGCTCCCATCAGCTGTCAGGTGCTCCATCTGCCCTATCTCACCCAAGCACTCCAGGCTACCACCCCACGTCATCTGACTTTGTCCAACACAGGCAGCTGGGGAAGGTGAGGTGCAAACATAAATGCAACCCCACATCCCACCCAGAGCCTGAACAATAGGCTGAGGTCCCAGGGGACAAGGGCAAAGGTTGTGGCTTTCCCAAATCACCCCCTCATGCCTACCTGATCCAGGAAGCCATTGCTCAGGGACAGTTAGGTGGCAGGGTAGGTGACAAAGATGGAGGCTGTCTCCTTGGGACCAGTCACTGTCAGGTTCCCACCTGTATAGTTCTGTAGGGCATCTGCAGGGTCATCTTTGCTCATTCAAAACTGCTCTAAGGCACCCTTGCCCACACACGTGTCCCCAACCCTGTTCTCTCTGTTACCATGATAGAGAGCATACACCTATGCTCCAGAGGCACAGAAAGCGGATAGCAACTGCACCAAGGAGTAAATGGGAAACTTGGCCCAGGGGAGGCATCCCAGGAGGCACATGACCAGGGAGAAGGCTGGATTCAGGTGGGCCCCTTCAAGGATCAAGAAAAGAAAACAAATATCCATTGTGTCACTGCCAGGCACTGTCACCAGGTAACACTGCAACTCCTCCCCACAACTCTTAAGACAAATGTTACTCTTCCCATCATATAGATTAGAAAGTTGAGGCTCAAGGAGGTTAAGCAACTTGTCAAGGTCACACAGTGAAGCCAAGTTTGAACCTGGGTCTGTCTGCTCTTTCCACTACAGCACTTGACACAATGTGTGCCTGGGGGACGAGCAGGTGAGGTCCTGAGCAAAGGTGAACCCCCAAGGGCTTAGGTGGGGGACAGAAGAGGAGAGTACTTACCCTTGATGCTTTGCCATAGATCTCCATCTATGTGAGTGGAGGATTAATGTGAAGAAGCGGGATGGCAAGATACAGAAAGGGAAGGGACTGGACTGGGCCAAAGGCATATCTCAGTCCAGGTCACTGGTCAAGCTCAAGGAGATAATATCTATAAGTCACCAAAGGATCTGCCTTTTCACAATTACCACACTCAAGTACACAATCCTACCCCGTCTGATGACCAGACCTCACCCTCCTTACCTGAGACATTACCACTGATGTAGATGGCTAGCCTAACACCCAGAGAGCTAGCCAGAAACATGATGAAGAAGTTGCCTTTGGTTCCTCTGCTGGTGACAGCCTGGGCCAAAGTCCCCTGTATGAGGAGCTGGTAGAGAGAAGGAAGATGAGGAAGAGGGAACCAAGAATAAGGAGCCTGGTGGACCAACAGGAGAGAGAGACTGGGAAGGTGAGGGGAGTGGCCAAGAGAGATGAATGGGCTTGAGAGATCAGCAAGAAAAAGCAGAAAGAGGGAAGGGGAAAAAATGGGAGAAGCAGAGAAAGAGTAAAGAAAGGGGAGGAGGATAAGAGATGGAAAGGGACAGGCATAAAAATGAGGGAGTAGGAGAGGGATAAAAGGGACAAGAGCGGGGAAAAAGAGAAATGATGGAGAGTTGAAGCGGGACACCAGGAGGAAGAGATAAGGATGCTAGGAGGAGCCAGAAACTTTTGCCCACCTCCCCTCTTTCCTTCCCCCAATTACCCTGCCTACTGTGAGCACAAACACACCCAGAAACTCTGGCCAGGCACTGCCAGGCCAGGATGCTGTGGATCTGAAGCCGGTCCTTGACTTGCGCCAGGGACTGAGTGTAGTCCATGGTGGGGACACCTTATCTCTGGTTACCACTCCCTCTGTCTGCATAGGTGCACTGCTGCTACACAGCTTCTGCCTGTCAGGGGCAAAGATAAGGGAAAGACTTTAAAACCAATTATCTCAGTTACTGAACAGCAGCTAATGTCTGTCTGTGCATGAGTGGAAGCTAGGGAGGGAGAAGGTCTATGGGCAGTCTCTGTGCACAACTAGAGCCTGGAGTTTGACCAGCCTCTGTCTCCTCTGTCTCTCATCCCCAGTCCTCCCAGGAGGAGCCTCCCCTTATGCCGAAAAACTGGGAGAAGTAGGCTGCTTCATGTACATTAGTTCTCTTGGTGCTCAAGACAGCTGTGGAAAGTAGTATTGTACTATCGCTCCTGCTCTGCGATGAGGATACTGAGAGAGCCTTAGAATTCCCCAGGCCACACAGCTAGTTAATAGCTAAGTTTGAATTCAAATGCAGGTCTTCTGACTCTCCCTCTGATATTCCACAATGCCTCTCATGTGGAACGTGAAGTCTTCCCTCAAACCATTTGGATGCTTGGGAAATTCAATATGCCTCCAGAGAGACTGGGCTGAAGACCGCAAGCTGCAGGAATAAAACCCACATAAGGCATGCTTGTACTTTGATGCAGTCTCACCTTGACTAGAGAATGCTCTGTCTTTGTGTCTCTTGCCATGGCTCCAGATGAGGGCTTCATGCCCACGCTGAGCTCCACCTCCCCTTCTCTGGATGCTTGCCACTCTTATTCTGCTTAAGACAGCCACTTCCTACTTCTTCATATCTCAAGCCTCTAATTAAGATTCATTCAACTATGAATCAAGCTCTAGACCCTGGGGAAACAGTGGTAAACGCAACATAGCTCCTGCCCTCTTAGAGCTGATGCTCTAGTAGGTGGAAACAGACAATATACAGATTTTTAAAATACTAATATAGTTTATGAGGTTCTTGAGAGCTGGGCTATATAACCCTGGGGGCTCTAGCGCAGTCCTGGGCACATCTCTGTGAAATACTTCTTTACTGGCTTTAGCGGATATTATAGTGCTCCACCCAGGTCCCCTTTTCAGGGCTAATGCACCCACTCCCCAGCTGCTGGAAATAACAGATGCTGATAGCACTCAGCTGCTTCCCTCATGGCAGTGACTTCTGTGGCAGGGAACTGCTTCAGCCAAGGTCATGTGTCCTCCTATAGGATCCACATCAATGAATGGTTGATGCAGGGATTCAAAGACCGAGGGGAGTTTGGTAGCGTTATACATAGAACTGGATGCCGAGAGTGCTGGATCAAAGGAAGTGGAACATAAAGTTAGATGTGGAAGAATTTATTGATAAGGGAACACTCTCCTGGGATTTAGGATTTAAATCCTGGCAAGATCCCTGGGATGTGGGGTGAATACACTTCTAGGAGGCTTGGGGAAAACGATAGCTCACGCTAAGAAAAGTAAAAATGCCTAAACAAGTCATTTACATTGATGACCATTATTGAAAAAAGGGAGAATACTCAGACATTTTGAGGATTTTTGGACAAAGGATCTGAACTAACATTGACAGCTGACAACCCAAAGCTGTACCACGACCCCTTGTTAGAGTAGGAGCATATGGGGTCCAGATAATAAATGGAGTCCTGGGCTCAGGTCTGGTTCACAGGATATTCACTGAGACCAAGGATCCACCAGGTGGTCACTTCCTTGACACCCCAACATATAATTGAAATGGACATTCTTTGAAGTTGCAGAACACTCATATTTGTTTCTTGACCTGTGGAGTAAGTGATGAAGGCCAATTAGAGGGCTGAGACTAACTACCTCACACCAAGATAATAAATAAAAACAATACCATATCCTAGGGTAAATGGAAGAGATTAGTGCCACCCTCAAAGATGTAAAGAACATAAGAGAGGTGGTCCCTTTCATACCACCAGTTTGGCTCCTACAAAAACTGGATAGATCATGGCAGATGGCAGTGGTCTACGGTAAAATTATTCAAATAGTAACTCCAATTGCAATTGTTGTGTCCCAAATGGTAACTTTATAGAGCAGTTTAATACAGCCTCTGGTTGGTAGTATGTAGCCATTAATCTAGTGAATATGTTATTTTGCATCCCAACCAGATCAGAAAGGAGGATCCCAAGGAATTTCATCCACGTGGGAAGTCTAGCGATAAACACTTGTGGTCTTACCCCAGGACTATGTAAACTCTCTGGTCCTCTGTCATAATATAATCTGAAGGGAGCTTGACTATCTGGACATTTTGAAGAACATCATATTTGTCCACTATACAATGGACCCTTGAACAACACAGGTTTGTACTCCTCGGGTCCACTTACATGTGGATTTTTTTCATTAAATATGTATTACAGTACTACACGATCTACAGTTGGTTGAATGCAAAGATGCAGAACCACATATACAGAGAGCTAACTGTAAAGTTATACTTGGATTTTTTTTTTTTTTTTTGGTCTGCGAGACATGTGGGATTTTAGCTCCCTGACCAGGGATCGAACCCGCACCCCCTCCAGTGGTTAAGGCGAAGTCTTAACCACTGGACCTCCAGGGAAGTCCCTGGAGGGGGCTTGGATTTTTGACTGGGCAGATGGTCAGAGGCCCTAACCTCTGCGCTGTGCAAGAGTCAGCTCTATATATAACATCATGCTAATCAGATAAGAAGAGGAAGAAATGGAAGTATATTGGAGGGCCTGGAAAGATAACATGTATTCAGAAGGTGGGAAACAATCCTATAAAGATTCAGGAAACTGCCACTTTGGTAAAGTTCTGAGAGGTCCAGTGGTCTGGGACATGCTGGATATCCAATCTGAAGTAAAGGACTGATTATTGCATCTCCTACCTTCCACCACTGAGAAAAAAACACATCACCAATCTACTTAGGATTTAGGAGCGATGTATTTCACACTTGAGAATACAACTCTGACCATTGAAGGCTGTCAACTTCGAGTGGGGCCAAAGCAGAAAAGGCCTCTGCAGACATGTGACCCAGCAGACCCAGTGAGATTAGAGTATCTGTAGTAGGAAAATATACCGTGTGTGGTTTGGCAAGCTCTAATAGGAGAATCATAATGTAGACCCACAGGGCTCTGGAGCAAAGCCATGCCATCTGCAGCAGAGATATACATACCTTTTGAAAAGCAGCTCTAACAGTGCTACTGGGCTCCAATAGAGACAGAGCATCTGACTACAATTCATCAAGTGACCAAGTAGCCAGAACTGCCCATCACAAGCTGGGCTCTGCCTAATTCTCCATGTCTTTAGGAAGGGTGGGCCCAGCAAGAACACATTGTAAAATAGAAGTGACATCTTTGGGTTCAGGCATAAGCAGGGTCAGAGGGCACAAGCCAGCTGAAAAGTAAGTGGCCCAGACTCATGTCATTTACCAGGCATCTCTCCCTCAGCTCACATGACCCTACTGGGGATTGTCTTAGTCCATTCAGGCTGCTATAATAAAATACCATAGACTGGGTGGCTTATACACAACAGAAATTGATCTCTCACAGCTCTATAAGCTGCTAATTCCAAGATCAAGGTGCCAGCAGATTCGGGGTCTGGTGAGGGCCCACTTCCTGGTTCATAGACAGCTGTCTTCTCACTGTGTCCTGAGGTGGCAGAAGGAGCAGGGAAGCTCTCTGGGGTCTCTTCTATAAGGGCACTAATCTGATTCATGAGGGCTCTACCTTCATAACCTAATCACTTCCCCAAGGCCCCACCTCCAAATACCATCACATTGGGGGTTAGGTTTCAACATATGAATTGGGTAGGGGGGGGCACAGACATTCAGTCTGTGACACGGATCCCTTGTGAAGAAGGATCAGAGAAGGAATAAGCTTGGTTCAGACATGAGTTGGCAGTTTGTGGGCAAAAGCCAAAAATTGACTGCTGCTGCATTGCAGCAAATCAAGAGTGGCCTTGAAAGACAGTGGTGAGGGGAAATCCTCCCAGGGGACAGAGATTTGGACAGTACATCTGGTCATCCACTTTGCGTGGAAAGAGAAGCAAAGAACATACACAGTCACAACTGGCCTGGTTGTTTGGTCAGGGGCTTGAAAAGACAGAGTGGAAGATCAGGGACAAGAAAGTCTGAGGATGGACCTATGGGAGTAGTCTTGAAGTGTAAAGGTCTTTGTATTATACGTTAACGCCCACCAGAAAGCATCCATCACAGATGCACTGAACAACCAAGCAGGAAGAATGACTTAGCCACTGCCTGTCATCAGCCACCCACTTCTGAACAATGAATACACTGAGTAGAGTAACTGGTGGTAGGATACAGGCTATGCACAGGCCCAACAGTGTGAGCTCCTACTCACCACGGCTCAGTTAACCACTGCTGTGGCCAACATGCAATCTGCCATTAACAAATACCAACACTAAGTCCCTAATACAGTGCTATCTCTCGAGGAGAGGAAGCAGACACTTAGGGACAAGGACACTAGGTTCCCCATCACTTTTGACTGGGATTGACACTTACTCTGAGTATAGGTTTGCCTTTCCTGCCCATAGGGTCTCAGCTAAAATCACTCTATAAGGACTTATAGAGTACTTGATCCGTTAATGTGGGATCCAAATTATATAATTTTTAAAAATTTATTTTTTGGCTGCGTTGGGTCTTCTTTGCTGTGCACGGGCTTTCTCTAGTTGCGGTGAGCGGGGGCTACTCTTCGTTGAGGTGTGCGGCTTCTCATTGCAGTGGCTTCTCTTGTTGCAGAGCATGGGCACTAGGGCACACAGGCTTCATTGTCTGGGGTACGTGGGCTTCAGTAGTTGTGGCTCACGGGCTTAGTTGCTCCACGGCATGTGGGATCTTCCTGGACCAGTGATCAAACCCGTGTCCCCTGCATTGGCAGGCAGATTCTTAACCACTGCGCCACCCGGGAAGTCCCTGAAAACTTTTTTTTTGGCTGTGTTGGGTCTTCGTTGCTGTGCGCGGGCTTTCTCTAGTTGTGGCAAGCGGGGACTACTCTTCACTGCAGTGCACAGGCTTCTCACTGCAGTGGCTTCTCTTGCTGCAGAGCACGGGCTCTAGGTGCGTGGGCTTCAGTGGTTGCAGCATGTGGGCTCAGTAGTTGTGGCTCACTCATGGACTCTAGAGCACAGGCTCAGTAGTTGTGGCGCACGGGCTTAGTTGCTCCACGGCATGTGGGACCTTCCCGGACCAGGGACCGAACCCATGTCCCCTGCACTGGCAGGCGGATTCTTAACCACTGCACCACCAGGGAAGTCCCTACATTTACATCTTGAGTTTTTCTATCTGGTATGAGGCAATGTTCTAATCTACTTGTTTTACATGTGGCTGTCCAGCTTTCCCAGTACCACTCGTTGAAGAGACCAATAATGTTTTGCTAGTTATATTTTCCCTAATATATACAAGAAAATAAAAACATAGCCAGTAAAGGAAAACATATTTGCCCATGTACTTCATCAAATTATCTCATGAACTACCCAATCATAGTGCTCCCACACCTAGGGAAGCAGTTTTTCCTCTACACTTATACACATACTTCCTTTTTTTTAATCTAATGCATCCCCATGTAGAAATTTCCCTGGAATTATCACTAATTATCTTATCTCTTCATAAGGAAAATCATCTTCTAGAGATACCTGACCCTTACTTATCAAAATCAGGTTTTGGAAAGTAAAGCAAAAAATTAAGAAATAATTTTTTGCGGGCCAAGTTAATTTGGGAAGCCCTGGATAGTGTGAGAAAGTGGAACAGCCATGACAAAGCCAAGACTAAGGAATTAGCATAAATAAA